AAAAAATTAACTTTGTATTCATCAAATTGGTTAAAAGGATTGGAAAAAAAATTGATTGGAGAGATTAAGAAAATGTGAAAAATTGAAAGGTAAAAAAAAGATAATAATGTAATAAACTAATTAATATAAAAAATTAAAAAAGACAAAATAATTAAAAAGTGAGTAAAAGAAAAGTAAAAATTGTGAAATATAAAAAAAATAATCTTATATGTAATAGAAAAAAATATTTTTAAAATATTAATATTTTAAAATTTAAATTTAAATTTAAATATAAAATCAAGACGGGTCAGAATGGGGATTTCATTACACATCCCCGCCCGCCCCTGATTTTTTAAAGCGAAAAAAACTTGAACTCGCTCCCGCCCCAATCAACTTGATTTTCTTCCGTCAAACTTAGGATAGGAACAAATTAATCCCTATAAGTACAGATTTAATTATCATCCCTGAATAAAACAAGTAAGATTATAAAGTCACGCTTCCCTCGAGTCTAATATGGCATGATGACATGAGTAAAGGAAAAAAATTTTGATTTTTAAGTACTTTCTATATTTTAGAACGGATTAAAAAATTATTTTAATATGATTTTATATTAGATCAACCTATCAATTTTGACTTAATTAATTTAAAAAAATATTAATATATATTTATATAAAATTAATTACATAAAAAATATTTTAATAAAAATAAAATATATTTTAAAAATTTAAAATATATTACTAATTGTCTTTACAAAAATATATTACCGATTGATTATATTAGAGAAGTTTTTTTAAATTAAATAGTCTACAACGTGTTTTTAGACAAGTCAATTGATAGTACCTTTCTCAAAATAAAGATAAGTGTAAAATTAATTTAATATAATTATGGGTTGTAGGAAACTGTCATTTTTTTTTTCCTTTACTTTTTTTTAATAGAAAATATCATAAAAAAATGAAAAATTGGATTGTCTTTTTCATTTTAAAAAAAGGGAAATTACGATAAAGGAAACAGACCTCACATTTTCGGAGGCCCAGCCCGACATTTCAATGGATATTCAACTATAACAAAACGAATAAAATGTGACCATAACTCCCAAATTAGTCAACTCAGAAATTAAATCCGCATAAATTACTTCAAATCTCCTCACTCTGTTTGGTATAGCAGATACTAGAACAGAAAAGAAAGAAAACGCTGAATCATTATGAAAATTAAATGATTAAAATATATATAATGCAAAGAAAGTTTTTCAAAATATAATGCAATCTATAGTTAAACATTATTTGTCTTAATATAGCTCATTGAGTTTTATCAATATATTGAGATCGAGAATATGTTTTCCTATTTTTTGAAATTCTTATTATAATATTAATATTTTTTGGCTTTACTATAACTAAAAGAAATATATAAAGACGTGCTCACATTTTTTTTTATTTTATCTTTTAAATAATACACATAATATTTTTATTATATTTTAAACTCTATGGAAAAGAAATAAACAAAATATATACATAAAAGATTAATACAGTTTTTACACATTGATATGCATAACAAACAATTTTTTCTTCTCGTTTATTTTATTTTAGTTGTTTTTATTTTCTCTATTTCTTATAATTAAGTAATCTTTATTTTAATTTTTTTTTCTATTTTCTACTCTTTCCTTTCCTCTCACCAAGATAAAGAATACAATAAGGATTAAGAGCAATTTTTAATTAACTTTTGTTTTCTATTAATAAAATTTTTAAGATTGAATTTATTAATTTCAAATAACTAGTTGTACATTATATTTATTCAGGATGATCTTTATAAATTAATTATAATTAATTTTATTATAAATATTATAAACAAAATTGTGTTAGATATATTGTGCAGATATCTATGGGTTGTAATATTTATACATTAATTATGATTCATCTTAATTATTTATAATTCTGATGTGTTATAATAAATTAGAAAAATTTGTAGAATATTTGTTAGTTTTAATTTAAAAATATTATGATATAATAGTATGCATATTTAAGACATATAACACGTAAAAGTTTGATAAAAAATATTTACCTCGAAATTATTATAATTTTAAAGTCAACTATAATAAGGAGAGTAATGAAAAAATTTCTACCAAGTGAGAGGTGTTACAAAATAAAATTATATCTAAATAAGGAAATGTAACTAACAAAATCTTGTCAAAGAAGGTGTCATCAAATCTGACGGGTACAGGTGATTGTACAATCAACTAATCTCCTTATAAAATTAAATTATATACTTTTCTATTTTTAGGGTTTTTTATGATTAAAAAATTGTACAAATTGATGTACATTGATTTTGATGAATTAATTATAATTAATTTTATTATAAATATTAGTGACAAAATTATAATTCGTAAATTATATAGATTGTGATATTTATGAATTTATTATGATTGGTTTTAATTATTTAATATTTTAATTTCTCAAAATTATGTTCATAAATTAGATGAGGTTGTAAATAAAAAGAAACGTGATTCAAAATTCAATTATGTGATCTTAATTAAATTATAATTAACTTGTCATTATTTTTAATATAATATTAAATCATATAAAACATAACAAAATATTCACAACTTCATATGCTTTTAAAAACTTAACTATGAATAAATGTCATTATTTATAACTCTTCCCAAAATATATTATTTAATAAATATAAAAAACTAAACCAATTATGATAATATTGAACTTTGAAAGCATACAATAATATATATGAACAACTATATTTAAAAACTAACCAAATATAATTTAAATAACTACCAAATATCAAATTTCACATTTTTTTTTCAGTTTCATGTTGTAAAAACCAAGCAAAATTGAATGATACGTTATATTTATATCGATTTTATTTAATAAATGTTTATTGTTATGTGGTCTTATTTTAATTTTTAATAATTATAGTATGTAATCTATAACGTACTTATTTATTAAAAAGTTTGTAATATATATGTGTTTTTCTTTTCCTCTTTTTAATATGCATTGAATTAAGAAAAAAAAAGTTACGTACTCACAAATAAAAAAAAAGTATATTTTTTACTTCCATTAAATTATAAACTATCATTTTTTTATTTTAATTCAGTTATAAACTAACATGTAAAGAGAAAAATGTTGTTTATTTATGTGCTGAATTTTACCAATGAACATGAGTTTTTTTTTTTCTCTAACTGTGAGCAAGAATCAATAGATTTCAAAAATGTGTAATGTGAAAATTAATCATACTGGAGACAAATGATAGTTTTTTTTTTTTTTTTTTTGTACAGAAGACACAAAATAGTATTAGAACCACATAATAAATCAATTTATTTTTTCTTGAAGAGTATGTTCTTAATGTCCTAAAATAATCAACATATACAGATATTTAAATTTATAAACTATTGATGAGTAAATGTGAAGATAATTCCAGGTGAATCTCGAAGGAAACCCATAGAAAACTTCTGAATAATCTTTCAAGAGAAAAAATAAAAAATAAAAAACTTTTAAGTTTTTAGTTTGGGCAAGTTTCAATCACTGGAAAATGGGGTTGTTATTTATATCACGACTTATTCAATATCTCAAAAAACTAAGGGAAGGTTGGAGAGGAAGGAATGGCCAAAAACTAGATTGACTTCATGATTTCTTTAAAGCGGTGGTAAAGATGATGTTAGTAACATATTTATTAATTATATAAATTAATAGTATAAAATAAGAAATTATAATAATTAATAGGAAAACAGTTATATAATGAAATGTTAAAAATAAATTAAGAAGTTGTATATAAAATTATACAGAATAATTTCATTAAAAATATTTAAAAAAATACAATAAACAGTTAAAAAATCAATAAAAATTATATAATATTTAGGTAAAACAAAAAAGGAATAAATACATAAAAGGCAGTTAGATAACTAATAATATTTATTAATAATATAGAATAACAATGTAGATAATTATTGAATTATTAAAAAGAAAAAATTATAAAATTTAATAAAAATTAGTTATATAACAAATGTTTTAAATTAAATAAGAATAAATTATGTTCACATCAATAAACTGTTAAACAAACCAAACTCATTATAAAGATTAAAAAAATTTTTTTTGATAAACAATAAATTAATATAAGATGAATTTTTATTTTTATTGTTGTGTTGCTAAAGAAATATTAACAGGGACATTGAGTTATGATCCAGAATAAACAATTGCTAATTATGGTCAAACATCAAGACAATTTATCAATACGAATAAGAGTATTTTTTTTATTTTTATTTACTAAGAGAACTTCTCAATCTTTCAATCTATCCATAAAGAATATGTTATTGGATTTGACACGGATGAGAATCCTATAATTTAAAGTGTTTTATGTTGTAAACATCTTTGTACTAAATAAAATAAATTGTATTAAATCATTTGTGTTTGCTTAAACTTCTTAGTTTTTATTTTATTTTATTTTATTTATCTTGTGGTGATGGATTAGTTTAAGGTGCCTTACAATTATAATTCCTCTATTTTTTTTTAACATGTGTATTTAAGGTTTAGAAACATAAACTAAGAAAAACGATAATTTTATGATTTACAATAAATTTTAATCTTTTTCTAATAATGTATTTTAGTATTTTGACATTCTTCATCTACCTAAACTTATTCATAATAATTTATTATTTTCTTTCTCTAATAAAACTATTTTTTTTATAAAAATATATAGTCTTATATTTTATATAAATAAAAAATATAAAAATTGAAAATTAAGGAAAGAGAGAAAGTATTATGCGTTGGAAGTTGGAACTAAAAACTAATAAATTATATTTTATTACATCCCAAACTTAATTTGGTATTTTTTAAAATGATATAAATGTTTTTATTTTGTTATTTACCTAATGTAGTATGATAATTGATAAGATTGCCGAGTATTTTTTTAATCTCGCATCTAATTTTTTTATTGGCTGCTCACGTATTAGAAGTTGTGAAATGAATCAAGTTCACAATCTAAATTTTAAATTCTAAATTTTGTGGGCAAATTAATCTATTTTACTTTGGTACGATTGGATGAAATCTGAATTTGGGTTAAGGGGCATAAACTTTGTACTAATCAAGCTTTGGAAATAATATCATTAATTAACAAAAAACAAACACGTTAAAGAATACCCAATTGTAATTTCAACCATAAATTGACAAGACACAATGCAAGACAATTTGTGAGAACGACTCCGTATAAACAACGTTGAAACGATGTTCCCGCCAAAGCAACAACCTCGCATAGAATTCTTGTCGCGGTAGTCGAGAGATAGAGACTCGTCACGGTACAAACCTGAAGACAGATGTCAAGATAACATTCGCCCAAAAAGGAATAAATGCTACCTACACTTCCGGATAACAATTCAACCCGGAGCCGTGGGATCTATTCGTCTCTATGTATGAAAAAAATCGAGATAATGGGGTGGGGATTCGGGTTTTCCAGCTTTAGAAGGTTGGGGAGGGAGACGGGTATTGCGAGTTCCATGTTTTTTTTTATATATATTTAAATTTTAATTTTAAAATATTAATATTTTAAAAGTATTGTTTTATTATTAATAAGGTTTTTTTTTATGATTTTTTTATCAAATTTTTAATTTTTTTTAGGAAAGGTAAAACACATCCCCACCGGTGGGTTGCCATGCCTGCCATTACAATATAATTTAACTTAATTTACTTTTCTTAATAAAATGATTAGTTACTAGTAATACAATTAGTGAATATTTAAATTAATTGGGATGCTCAAAATCGAACTAATTTAAAGATAAATTAAAATTTGATAAAAAATACTTTAATTTATTAGATTTTTTATTCACAAATTTTTAAATTAATTAGTTCAATTTTATTTTTTATTTAAAAATTAAAAATCAATCAAAATTGAATCTGAATAAAAAATATAATATATTACTAAAATTAAGATATTAGATGATATATTTTGTAAGTGAATCAATTAATTTTTTGTAGTTTATAATATGTATTATTATTTTTAAATAAATGTAGAAATATATAAAACTAAATTGAAATTATGAATATCATAATTAACTATATATATGATATTTTTATAATATAATTTTTATTATAATATAATTAATAAATTTGTAATAAAAACATGTATAAAAACTATTCAAACTAAATCGTAAAATATTAATTTAATTTCATTTAATTTGTTTTAAAACCGAAAATCAAATCAAACGGTACCACGAGATCTGGTGACTAATTCAAATTGAACTTAATTACGTATTATTCAGAAAATGCTAACAAAGGTATATTAAAAACACCATTTGAATATTAACATGATTGGACACATAGGCGTTTAACTTCGAATTTATTGAAATTAAAAGAGAAAAAATAATGGTAGGAAAAATCATAGGTCAAAACCAGCAGCAACTTGCTTACAAGATAAGGATGACGAGTAGCAGTAGTGTGAAAAATGGAGTCACAGAGAGGTTTATTCTGAAAATACAATATGAAACAACATGAAAACATGAAGAGTAGTGAGTCACACAGAGGTTTGTTCTCAAAATGGAGATGATGAGGTTCTACATGGAGCAGTGATTCTGGGAGGGTTATTATCTGAGGACGATAAAGAGAACTGCACCTGCAACAAAACATAATTTCAGAATGCATTAACTTTCGTACTACTGCAGAATAATGAGGCAACACCTTTAATTAATTTCCGTACAGGAGAAAATGAACCACAGATAAAGGTTGGATACATATATACCTAATTAACTCAACCCTCTCTATTTCTACTTCACCTTTCCTTCCACGTCCATTTTAATGAAAAAATATGTTCAATCATTTTAAATGCAGCCATGAAAAACTAAAACTTACTATATACAATATGAGTACTTTCTAAAGACATTAAATGTATTTTGGTATATTTTCAATTTGATAATCATTTCGTGATATATAAAATTTTAATATAGCTTTAAATTAAACAGAAACTATTTTTATATAGTTTTTTTTAAACAAGCATTAAAAATTTATAATTTTATTATTTATCCTACATAATTTATACCGTACTATATTTACATCATATTTGAATAAACTTTTTCATACTTACAGATAAAGAAAATTAAAAAAAAAAATATAAATTAGTTTGAAAGTTGAAATAAATGTATGTATCCCACTTTTTTAGAAAAAAAAAAAAACTTATACAATGATTAAATTATATAACATAGAATTTCAATTCATTATATACGTTGAGTATTGAGGTACAGAATCCAATAATTCATTATATATGTTGAGTACTGAGGTACAGAATCCAGTAATTCATTTTATTTTATTTTTTAAATTGCTAAAGAGAACAAGTTTAACCACAGATGACTTTATTCTTTTCCAAAGGTTGTTCATAAAGTATGGAAGATTTATGAGAAGATATTACATTACTCAAAGGGTAAAGATCCTATGTTTATTTTTCTTTTTTTTAGAAAAAAGAAAAACGAACTAAACTAACCTCTTTCAATTGTTTTCTTAGTTTAGAATTTTCTTCCCTCAAACGAGCAATTTCAACTTCCAAGCCTTTTCTATAAGCCTGCGCAAAAGAAGAAAACAAAGAAAAGAAAAACAGGGTTGACTTTTGAGCATTAACAAGATTGAGAGAGAAATATATATGTGGAGGAAAAAAGAGAGTGACGTGCCTGTTTTCTGGCTCTGGACCGAACCGCTGATTCTCGATTCTTCATGATGCGCGCATGTCGTTGATCTTGGTGGTGTGTGGTTTGGTCGGAGGGGAAAGAAGTGTTAGAGAGAGGGAGAAGAGAGTGGTGGCTGTGTTTGTGAAAGAGAGGGGTGGGAGAGGAAGAGAGGGTGAGGAGAGAAGAATGGGAAGAAGAGTGGTTGAATTGAACGGGCGAGTTGGAGAGGGAGGAGAGTTTGATGTCGTTCCAGACATGTTCAATGGAGGAAGAAGAAGGAGGAGGAGGAAGGGTTTGGGGGAGTGAGGAGGATGAAGAAGAAGAAGAAGAAGAAGAAGAGGATGGAGGAGACAGTGAGTGAGAAAGATGGGTCCAACAATCACATGGCGATGAAGCCATCACTTTCTCTCTCAAAAAAAGGAAAAAAATGTGTCCAGGTTTCGATGGCCATGCTTGAGAGCCCTTTCTTTTTTTCACTGGGTTTGGTAAAAACTAGGGTTTTGCCACATTTGGAGTTGACAAGGAGGTCCCACACCATTAAATCCACCACCCCGGTTTTCTTTCTTCTTTTCTTCTCTGTTCCTCCCACGGTTTTTATTTGTTTGTTTAAAAAAACAAGTACGAATTTATTTTAAATATGAATTTGAAGTATTGATAATTTATTAAAAATTATAAAATGAGATTGAGGACGTAAATTTTAATAAATGCTAGTTAATGATTCTTTTGGGATCATTTTTCTCTACCTAAATTTCTGAACTCAAACACTTGAATTCAAATGATCTTTGTGAGGCAAATTTATAAAAAATAGTGTAATTTACTTTATTTATTTTTAAAATAGATAAATTTTTAAATATGGATAAATTGTACTTTGATATATGAAAAAGTCATTACATAACTTTGATTGAAGTTGTATATAAATGAACGATTTGTTTATGGAATAACTTTTTTTTATTTAAGTGGTGGTAGTATAAATTTTTTTAAGTTAATATACTGAAATTGTTAAATGATTGATAACTTTAATTTAGTTTTTTTTTTATATTTTGAAGTTCACATTGATGATTTTAGTTTATATATTTTTAAATTAAAATTTGTTTCTAAATTTTTATTTAATATTTAAAAAATTAATAAAATAAATAAATTATTATTATTTAGATGTCTATAATATTAAATAATTTTTAAATATATTAAATTCATAAAAAAGTATGAATTTATTAACAAGAAAAATATACATATATTATATATATAAAAATTTATATTTTCATTATTAAAATAGATAATTATCGATGATGATTATTATTTCGAGAAAATGAACATTTTTTTCTTAGTTGTAATATATTCATCCATGACAAAATGAATATTTGAAATATTTTTAATTAACATATTAATATTTTATTTTCAATAATTTAATATATTGATTAATTATTTAATATTATTAATATCTAAATAATAGTTTATTTTTTGTTTTAATAAATATTAAAATTATATTTTTATTAAGTAAATATAAAAAAATTAATTTAAAATATATGAACTAAACTCATCAATTAATTGACGGTTTTGATAAAAAAATTTACTTATAAATTTATCAATTAATTGATGATTTTAGTATTAAAAAAATTAATCACCATTTAAAAAACAAATTCAATAAATGAAAGTATGTATTCAGATACGACTTAAAAAAAATATGAAGAAGTTGTATACATGTATACGACTTTTATTTGAAAAAGTAAAAATCTTTTTTAGAACACAACTTCTTCTCGTATTTGAATGCACTACTTATTCATAATCAAAATTTTAAAAAAAAATTGCCCATTTTAACAATAATAAAAACAAATTACCCTATCATAAAAATTGAAATCACTTCATATAACAAAAATATATGTATTGATAATTGGTTCATCAATAGTTGATTCTTGAAAAAAAAAAAAAAAAAAACTGTAGATGTCATGGTTAATCTAACAAAACTATTACATAATCCTTAAAAACTCGAATAAAATGTTAAATAACAAATATTGATGATTTTGAATTATGCGTAATACAATGTAACTTATAAACTCATAGTAAAAATCATAAAACTAATAACTTTAATTTCAGAAAATCAAACAGTTGTATGTCTTTAAATTGAGGGACTTAATTGAAGCTTGAACGGGCTACATTGTTGTACTTTTTAAATTATGAGAATTAATTTAACCTTTTATTAATAGAAAAATAAATTGAAGACAAAAAAAAAGACGAAAAGGATAATTAAGTTTAAAAAATGGATTAAGGATAGTAGATTGATACTTTAGTCTTTAACCTCATGCTTAGTTTTGAGAAGGAGAGAAACGAGAGAAATAAAATTTAATTGTGTGAAAAAAGGGAAAATCATAAATAATAGTGAGACTCACGGTATTATTTCACACTTATTTCCTTCCGAATCAATCAAATTACACAGTTTTTAAATATTTTATTTATATTTCTCCCTATTTTTACTCTATCGAGCAATTAAAATTTCAATTTTTTTTTTCAATTTCTATCTTCTCTATTTTCATCTTCTAATTTTCCTCTCGTAACCAAACATGAAGTGATGGGCACAATCTAGTTCGTATACAAAATAAAGAAAATGTCAAATAAATAAAAATATGATGAAAATGAAATTGTAGTCGAATATTATAACTTTAGTCACATTCTTTTGGTATTTGATTAATGTAATGATCAAACACTAATTTGGACTTTAAAGTATTTTGTTTATGTGACACATCATTGTACAAATTTAGGGATAAAAGTCATCGTTAGTAATCTAGAGAGGCATTTGATTTACGAATATATTATTTATAAAGTTATTTATTAAGTAGCTTATGTGCATTTAAAAATTCACTCTATTTGTTTAGTGTAATTTATTTTAAAACATTACCCTGAAGTTTATTTGTTTTCCCATAAAACCAAACAGAGATTGTTGGTGAGATATATATATAATGGAGCCTTAGCGTGTTAGTAGTGGAGAACATAGCGAACCTATCATCTTTCGAGTGATTGCTTTACAGCTCAAACACTTGGGAATTTTCTAAGTCATTAATATATTTTAAAATATTCTGACAATTTGGCTACTTGTGGTTAATCCTTATTTCTTATAGTCATGATTTTGTGTTAATTCGAGACCATACCTTATTGGTGTACAACGAATATAGTGACATAGTCATTCTTCACTAATGACTACAAACACTATAAAAGGAAAAAAAAATAAAAAGATTCATTTTCAACTATTTGATTAAATATCCCTGTGTGTTTGATAGGAAAAAAAAATCCTGGTATGTTGCATAGTATTATAATAAAGGGATGGTATAAAGAAGAAGCAATGTGCGTGTAGTTTCCATTTTTGCATTTTTCATTTGTACATTTTAAAAATAGTCTACATAATTGGCGTGTCAAATTTTCAGATTAGAAAGCATTCCATTTGGCTTTATTTTTAAACTATAAACCATTTTGCTTTAAATATCATAGTAATAATGTCTGATTTAATTTTAATATATTAGTGATATCAGACAGAAAATTATATCATCCTGCATTGTGATTTAATTTTTATTTTGTTAAGACTTTAATATTATTGATAATTTAATAAACAACAGTGTAAATCAATATAATAACATATTAAGCCTTAATCGATCCTTGAAAATTGATATCGGCACAAAATAATACAAATAAAGTACATTTACTTTTTAATTTTAAAAACCAAGCATTATAATAATCTTAATTGATTCAATTATTTTTTAACCAGATTTTATAATTTAAAACAGTTCAATTTTAAGTGTCTATGCAATAGTTAAAAACAAATCAATTTTAAGTATCTATTAAAACAGTTCAACATCTAAATAGTAGTGTCTATTTCAAGATTGACAGAAAAAGAAAGTGATGAGATTACAAAAAAATTGATTTCGCATCTTGAATGCGATTTTCCTGATCTCAGAATATTATTTATTAGACACTAATAGTTCTAACATGCACATTTCAATTATTTCCGAAGTCATTAAGTTTCCAAATGGGCAGATTAAAAGAAAAATAATATACCGATTTCTTAAATTTTCTTAATATCTGCATACTTAGTTTCAAAATAAATACTCACATTTCTTAGTATTAATAAAAAAATCATATTTCTTATTTTATTGATATATACAATAATCTTAAGATAACACATAAATGTAATAATAAAATTATAGGTTTTACTCTATATAGCATTATATTTTTATACTAAACAATGTTCTTAGAACACATGTAAATTTCATTATTTTCAAAAGACAATTTACAGTAAGATAACCGTCCAATTCTGTTGTCATAATTAAGAAATAATTATCACATTTTTTCCTGTAAAAACTTTAATCAATATTATTTTTTTAATCTTTCATTTTAAATTTATCATTTTTATTTCAAGGTTTTTAGTTTGGATAATAATTTTAAATAAAATAAAAAGCACATAAATATCACTTAATTAAAAACATAAAATATAAATACATATTTTAAAACTAAAAGAAATTAGATATTCACCTAACAAAACCTCACAAGATACAAGTTCAGTTTATCCCAATGAAATATCTAATCAAAATGCAGGAGAAATTATAAAAAAATGATGATGAAAAAAACATTAAGTAGAAATAAACGAAAAACGAAAAATAACTAAGAATATATTTGGGCGAGCACACATAAGAGGCAGAACAAGCAACATCGTTTAATAAAGGCAAACATTAATAAATAACACGAGCTCAAGTCAACTCAATTCATTAAAAATCTTTACCCACACATACCACCATAAACCACCAGAAAATAAAGAATAATTCAGCCGCGGCAAATATAAAGCTGTACAAAACCAAAAAAATAACTTGTAAAAGTCACCTCCATCAAAATTCTAGATTTCTTGTCTCGTTAACTTTTTTCTTCCTTTCTTTTTAGACCATATTAATAATTCCGAAGAATTCTTATTTCGTTCCCTATTTGATTCAATGGCTACCAAAATCGACCTCAGTCACCGTAGAAAAGGAATCAAGCTTCCAAACATCCTATTCTACCATCCCCTAAAAAAATTCCTTTCAAAATAAAGAGTCACGGGGCCCAGAAACCAGAATTGGCCAAGAATTTTGGGATGGCGTAGAAAACTGAGTTGAGCTTTAATTGCTGCTCACAGTAGGATCGCCATTTGGGACCTGGGACTTAGAGGACTCTCCTGCATCATCATCATTTGCGGTAGGCTCAACATTAACTTTATCAGCAGTAGCTTCATCTACTGTAATCTTTTCAAAATCAGCTGCCAGGTTATTAGAACTCGATCCGCTGGGGGATATCGAACCAGAATTGGCTCGAAGTTGAGTAGAGGTAAGCCACTTGCTCCACTCATTTCGCCTCCTCAGCTTGTCACCCTGCAGCAAATTCGAAGG